TATCGGGACCTCATGATTGTTTTCCGAAATTTTAAACTTACATTCATTCTCTCCTACTTTATTAAGTGTGATAGCTGAGTTTGATAATACTCAGCTTTTCCATTTTTCACATAATTAAGTTAAGGGAATATAAAAATAGCGCGATATCCTCCAAATATTAATCTGTCAGCTATTTTTGTGTATGCCGAATAAAATATCGTAGCCATGTGCGCGATGCCAAAATAGAAAGTTGCATTGATGGAAAAGGGGCCAAAGCATTGCATCCCAGCTGACTTCCGGCGAAAAGTTCGAAAATCTGCTCAATGTCGTAAGAGTAGAGGAGTTGCACGAAGAAAAATGTAAGGGGAAATTTATTTATTACAACGAGGAAGTCTTTATTTAAGGGTCAAGAATTGACCCTTGCTTTGCTTATGCACGTTTCATTATTATTCTTATCTCATAATAGATGGAAGAAATCCAAATCAAACCATCTACAAAACGTTATCCCAGTTGGAATCATAGGTGCAACCACCGCTGCGTCGTGATGACTAATGTCTTGAGCGGAATTTGTCATGCCAACTGTTGTGTCTTTTGAGTTAGTTATCAAGTGAATAAATTTCTATGTGTCGACAGCAGGATTCTACAGGCTGAAGGCAAAAACCCTTTTTGTCGCTATCTCTTGATGACAGAATATGCTTGTCTTGCTTTAACTATATCTATTTCATTTACTTCAAGAAGAAGACACCACAAATGTGCTGTAATGTTAGCATTTGAAAATATGTTAGATTTCAGCCCGTGCAAGACAGCACTGACATGGTTACGTACAATGGCGGTTGTTGAGAATTTTCCTGAAGTGAAGGCGGGCGGAAATTGTTAAAGGAGTAGCGTAGTCAAGGCCAGGCCACGCCCCTTCATGCCAATAGTTATTTTACAAGTTGTGAATTTTTGAAAGATTGAAATTTCCAATAAAGTAAAGTAAGCCCTGTTCCCAATTGCATCTTAATTCTTCATCCATTCTACATTTCCGGGGAGGGGAGCGGGAAAGAAAATTTTAGTCGTTTTAAGTTGTGTACCAATATATAACAGCAATTCAAAATGACTTACCATTAGGCGAGTCGACATTTAGTCGACAATATGCTTCTGGTACAAATCCACGCTTTCCGTCGGATGCATGGACATAGATCCAATCATCCTCACGATAAATTGCCTTTACCTTGGCACCCCTGGGAACGGAAAGCTCGTCAGCAACCTGTTGTAAGCCAGAAATAATCATGCTAAGATATCACTTATATAGGAGAACTGGGATAATCAGATCTTAAAAAAAGTTGTTATGCATCATTTAAAATTAGCTGTCATGGAACATCTAATGGTACCCTACTCATCATTTT